CACCCAACCAAACCTAATCGAACGAGATCAACAACAGCCCTGACGCGATTCGGCATAAACTCAGAGCCTCGTCTTGGTCATAAAAGTCTGCCGTCATAGATGCATCACAGATGCCTTCTGCTGATCAGCAGTGCCACTGCACATCTCAGCTAGCTAGTCCCGCTGGATACCTGTATCCCCAGACTAACTGACCGCAGAGATGCTGCCTGGGCGCCTAGTACAGAGGCAATGCACAGCATTGTCTGTCTCAACCGCCCGGACCAACAGCGGCAACGAAGCGAAAACGATGGTGAACATTTCCTCATCCAAATCATATCCCGTGCCGCGAGGCTAACCAGGTCTTCATGACGTATAGTGAAAAGCAATCACAATTGTAGCCGACCCGCCGCTTCTTGATGCTGTAGAGCAAAAGTAATCACGCTAGCGCTGTTTGAATCAATAAAAAAAGAAAACACAAAACCGTGAACGAAGAGAGGTGATCTCAGCAGTCATGCAAAATATAGACGATATGGAGTATCATGTATGTCGCAAAGTCAATCAAGGAGAACGCCGTCATTGATGCCAATTAGTCGGATGTCTGTCGTGGGGAGGATTTGGCCCCGGTCGGTCAAGAGCGGGTGCAGGAGGGATCGGACCGGGCGGCATAGGCGAGATGTAATATTCGTGATGTCGGTTCGAACCCTGGGATCTGTTTCCAAAAGACACGCCAAGTCAGGGAGACCGTTAACATCAAGTGTCTGGTTCCATGGACGCGTTTACATTATTGTCCCGTAGGGAAGCGAAAGCGATGAGAAATCCTGGTATCGATCCCCCCATCCAAACCCTGTCATGTTTGCTGCCGTGCTGCAGAGCATGCTCGGCAGCGGGAGAGCTGCAAGAGCCGTCGAGGTCGCCGCCACACCGTAGTACTGCGCCGCGCTGTACGGCGGCGCCGTCGTATACCGTGGACTGAAGGTCGACGCCGGTGGAGAGGTCAGCTGCGCATCCTCCAAGCCGCTCATGTGAGCCCAAAGACCCGGATTCACATCCCCGGTCGTGGTCGTGGCTGGACTGGACGGCAGGATCTTCCAGGAGTCCATCGGAAGGGGCTGATGCATCGAATCCTGCCACCAGGGTCCGGGACCCGTTGAACTGGGCAGGTAACGCACCGAGCGGAGCACGTCGACAACCCGCGGGGGCGGTGGCTGCAGGGGGACGAACAAGTTGGAGATGGCCACTTTGGCTTCCTCACTGCGGCCGGCCAGAAGTTCACCCGCCCCATCCTCCTCGAGCCCTTCGAGGGCAAGGACGCTTGTGCGATAGACAAACTTGTTGGCGGCTTGGACAAACTCCTCCTGTAGCTTCTTTAGTTGGGTTTCCTTGTCGGTCCAGTCCCAGGTTTTCGCCGCGGCATCGACGGAGTAGACATCCTTGTGATAATCAACGAGCGCCTCGATGGTTTCCGGGGTTAGCTTGAAGGCAACTTCGTTCTGCGACACCATATCCACATGGACGACGTAGGCATCGATGTGGATCATTTGATGGTTGAAGAGGCTCTCCACCAGAGGGTTGTCATCCTTGCGAAGTTCGGCCTCGGGAGCCTTGGGGAACATCATCGAACACAGCGTCCAGATAGCGTTGGGCGAGGACAGCGTCTCGGTCAGACATCTAGTATGCTGTGTGACATTGTTCAGCGGGCGTTTGACTCGGTTGACCCGTTTCAAAGTGGCCGTGAGCCACGGTTCGATGCGGGTGTTGAGCACCACGTTTGGCGATGACCGCGGGGCAAATGCGGCTGCCGACGAGGGCAGTAAGACGGTGGGCATTTCTCAGACTGCGCGAGAGCGACGAAAGATGGTACTGTATTTGACAAAAAGCAAAGAACGAAGAAGAGAAGGGCGAATCAGTAAAGAGAGAGAGAAGATAGGATCGAAAAAGACCATAGAGGCGACATTCGCCCACACCGAGTGAGTTTTCCTGATAACAATCCAATCCGTCTGTTGAGGGCAGACAGAAAAAAAAAGAGGCAGAGCTCGAAGTCACGAGGACTGACCCAGTCCCAATAACAGGCACGACGGAGGGGTATGTAAATAATGAAAGGGAAAAAATTAAAATAATTCAAAGTAGGTGTGGCGGGGTAAAAACCGCTGCCTATCTGGTAAACGATGGAGACGGTGGGATCAGAAGGTGAGTTGAGCAGTTAGGGTATAGATTAAAAATCCCCACCATCAACCAAAGGCAAGTGGAGTGTAGCAGCGGGTATAGTAGTAGTAGTAGTAGTAGTAGGAGTAGGAGTAACTAGGTAGTGGTGGTGGTAGCAGTGGTAGCGATAATAATAATAGGCAATCGTGGGGATGTATAAAGCAAAACTACTGACTGTGTGGGCGAACGCGCGAAGAGAAAACAAAGGAATGGCAAGGACTGAAAAAGGATTGCAGGCCTGTGAAAAGAGGGAGGAAGAGGAGAAGAAGAGGAGGAGGAAAAGAGGAGGAAAAGAGGGAATAATGCAAATGGAGGAGGAGAAAGAGGAGGAGGGGGGCAAAACAGACAGATGGAGGCTGCCTGCAGTTCAGTCAGTGTATGCAGCAATAGCAACAGCAGCAGCAGCAGCAGCAACAACAATGGAGAGAGAGAGAGTTGAGCTGACTTGACAGTACAGATACAGTAAGGTCCACCGGGAATGGGGCTTTAGTATGAGTATATGTATCAATGCACGGGATTCTATACAGCCGTCCAACAAGCCACCCACAAGAAAAGAGTCCGCTCCGAAACAGCAATGTCCACAACCACCCAAATTTTATAGAGTAGCGGCTAGATTCGTAGAGAAAAAAAAAAGGTTCTTCGACTTGGGAACGTTAAACAAGCCAAACGAGACAAGTTCAAGCTGACTTTTGCATACGCATACTGTCTCGAATGCCTTCAGCTTTCGTCGACCAACCTTGATAGTAGTTAAGTTACCGGGTGATACGCACAAGCGATAGTAGCCCGTACATAACTTTAGTTACTGTGGAGGAGGAGAGGAGAGGGGGGGGGGCAACTCGCAGATTCGCTCTGTCTGCAATGGCGCAGTCCGGCCGGCGACTTTTCCCATGCAGTCGACGCGAAATCCCGATCGTATGGTACGAGTGATTTTTCTTTTGCGATTTTCCCACCTGCTTTTTTTTCTTTGACCGGGACAAAAATAAATAATTTTTTAAAGGATTATTTCTACCATTTTTGATGGTTGGAGCCATCGCCCGCTTTTCCCGGTGCGCTCTCGATCACTTTTTCTTGCTCTTGCTCCTCCGTGGCCTTCAGCAACAAATCTTAGCCAGATATGCAAGTGTCCAGAATCGTCATCGGCAGTGGAGCATCAGCCAGGAAAAGACAGGAAAACAGAAGGGGACGAAAAGCCAGAAAAGGCAGAGTCAGTCAAGTAGGTTAGTAGTTGGTCAATCCACGACCCTGGAAGGCAAAGGCAAGAAAGAGCAAGAAGAGCACGGGGCTAGTTTAGACCAGGTGATCCCCCATGATTACTGAATTATTACTATTTCGGCTCGCTGAGTGATTTCTCCATCCGTACATCCACCACTAAGTTGCTACATTACTACAGAGTGCAGGGCACATAGTGCTCCATATTCAAGTAAAGATCATTGCTAGTTAGTAAGTACACTACTACGGCAGATGTGAGTTCACTTATACTTTGGACTAACCTGTGGAATACTGACTCAAGATCCAATTTCCACATACTCATACCGACCCATAATACCTTTTACCTTTTAAGGGTCGCGGATGTCCGCGAACAAAGAAAGTTTGGACCAAAAGGCGCCCCTGTAGTGTATCTAAGCTGTTTCTTGCCTACCGGACATCGCTGGGGAGCGATGCCTGCTGATATGGAAGTGCTCTCCGGTCGGGATGCGACAGAAGATGATTTAACCTTTTCTATATCCTCTTTTCTGTCGCACTCCCTAAACTCCCTGAGAAGGTAGTTGGGGCCCTGTTCATCCTGAGGTTTATTATGGTGAAAGGGGAATAAAGGTGATGTTTTCCTTGGAAAAATCTTCAAGGTCTCCTTTCGAATGGATCAACATGCATCAACACAATGCCACAGTGGGATAAGAAGCCGGTCAAGTGCCCTAGCTAGGCAGGTCACACAAAAGGGCAGACAGACAGACAAGACAGACACCCATTCCGAACTTGAGTTTCTGCCCAGGACGGCCGGACGGCCGGGCGGACGGACAAGAGACAGAAGCTGAACCATGGATCAACCCCAACAAGCGTTCCATTCATTCTCAATTCCTGTCTGACCCGGAAAGGGCCCATTTGCCAGGTGTGTGCGTGGGTGCGTGGGTGCGTGTGTGTGCATTGTCAGTGATGGTGACACCGGAATGGCAAGTAACCCAACAAGAGCTGTGCTCTGAAGTACTTTTCCTTCTTTCTTTTCTCACCCCCCAAATAAATTGGTTGTTTGACTCTATATCTCAACGAGAAAATTCGTATACAATGTTGTAGACAGATAGAAAAAAAGGCGTGGTTGCAGGATGGGCTTGCAGGTTGGAATCAGGGCTGGGGCTAAGCTAAGCCCCTCTCCTCCGCCTCCTCCTCTCTCAGCTCGCTCGGCATCTTCCCTCTTCTTCCACCGCGTTGAGCAAGCGCTCCACTTGCCATGCAAACTGCGATGGCTGAGAGTGGCAGTACATTTATCTTCTCCCACTACCAAGATACCCATGCATAATACTCCTTTTAGATATGTCGACATCTGAAAAGTGGGAGCGAATACGATCCATGTCCGACTGTTCAAGTTTCTAGTGTTTCAATAACCGAGTCAACAGTTACAGTAAATAAGTTATATCGATACATCTACCTACCAATTTACCTGCGCAATCAAACCTCAAAAGTCGGATGATTGTACACAGATTATCCATCGCATCATTTAATGCTACAATGACCAATCAACGCACGCGACAGTAAAAAGTACTCAACGTTATTCCGCCTTTCCCAAAATCACGAACCTACTAGGTAGTCTTCTCTATAGACTGAGTCAAGACAAGCCCACTTTCTCAATGCGAGAGTATTCAAGAATTGGTGAAAACCAAGATCTAATCAAGTACGTAGTCTAACTTACTCAGTATGGGTAACTAAGACATAGGATCAAAAAGCCCCTCGCTGTTTTAGACTTGACCTCTCCGGCACGCGATACCGCCACCCACTTCGCGTCCTTTGACCGGTGGGACCTTTTCGAAGCACCTCACATGTGGCAAGTCAGCCCTGAGATCCAGCTTCCCGGTGAGTGGACTTCTTCACGTCTACAATGCCGTAGTCCCAGATGCCGTGCGGGCTAGAATTAATGATTCGAAGTCTGTATCGATGTAAGCTATGTACTCACGGCCGAGAGAACAGTTTTTCATTCATACTACCCACAGTCCATACACAGGACAAGTATAACGCATGCATACCAGACCTGTCGTCGCATGTACATCACCGCGCATATATGCGAGTAGGGAAACATCTACTCATACCACGCAAACGCCCATGCGGGTACGTAGAAAGAAGAAGAAATGGAGATGTTGGAAATCCACTCTCCCGTATGACTCACCAATTCCGATCGTCCGTGTACCCTTATCATTTCCAAACGCATATAGAACTGGATCTATACTGCCTGCTCTGTATACCTACCTATGATGATGGCAAACCGACGCCTTTGCACAGAAGCCACCGTCTCATGTCGTTGAAATTTGAAATCACCCGGGCACAAAGTCTGAAGCAAATGTCTTTGACTGACCAATAGTAGAAGGGCGATTTTTTTTATACCTGCTCTTCAAAGGCGCACATAGAAACATCTGCAAAAGAAAAAGAAGGAAGGCTGGGAAACATCTCCATCCGATAGAGGGTCCCGGTCCACAAAACGCACGGTCCAGTGGTACCCGACTCGGGTTCCGATGCAAATAGGTCCTCCGTACCTTTACTGGAAATAATACTCCTATCGTAGTACTACCTACACGCAGAATGGGAAAGCTGATACAAGAGGCCGAGGTGGCTCATCCATGTTCCTGGGAAGTCGTCGGTGTATCGCAACTCGGGGCATGGTTCACGATGGGGCGGGTTCCTTTTCTGCAAGATGAACAGGGGTGGACGAATAAATTCCTGACATGCAGGATATTCGGTGTGGGAAGTTATACAAATGTTTGGCGTGGAAAGGGGAAATGAGCATATTTGCTGTTCAACACCTGCACACCCCTGCTGGTTTGCTCATTATGCTGTACATCATGGACCTGCGTGATTAGTGCTGGATCCTGGAGTTTCGAGTATTGATGTTTCTGGGCTGGTTTCTAGAAAGAGTATATTGTCTGTAGTTGTGCTGAACCGCACAGAATATGAGCATAAAACATCAGGAGTACTTCGGAGTAACGTTGTTGCAAGGCAGCGAAAACAAGAATACAGCAACCTGTATTCGACTCGTGGACGGTACACTTTTCAGTGCACTTCTACTCATAGTCGCCGATACCCGCATTATTGCGCGTTTGCATTCAGCATCTGTCTGTGGCTTTATTGACAAATATACAATCTACCAAGACGGACTTTCCACCAGAATATGGGAATAGCCTCAAAGGTCGTTCCTGTCCAAGCGATATTACTCAAACCCTCGTTGTTGAACCTACCCCTAGATTTTACTCTCAAACCGTATCGCCGGAGTGAGTATCAAGAAGAGCCCATGCGCTCAGCTGAGGGAATACTGAAGGCCAGGAAATTTATCTGAAGAGGCGTCGTGGGGCGAGCTAAAAAGCCCTGGGCAGTTTAGGTGAGAAATGCCTCTTCTGGCCGCGGATTCGTTGACGAGCTTCAGCGGCCGGCTCGCTCGCCGCAGCTGAGATCCCCGCTACGGACTCTCATTGGACTGGCCTCGACGACCGGTCATCTCCAGACTTTCTGGAATAGGAAGGGCAGACGGACTGGGAATGCACTTGTAACGAGACTCGTTACTTGACCATTACCGGTCTTGTAATGAAGAGAGGGGGGTGGGCAATAGAGGGAGGATGGAACGGAAGGGCAAGTCCTCTATCCCGATCTGCATGCATGCACTCGCATGCCTTGGATGACCGTATCGTTCAGAACCCGGACTGCTTGGTGTGCACGCCTGCATGCGCATACACGCGGCTGCGACAGGCTGACTGATACTCCTGTGCCTCGTATGGTTTCCCGAGGCGGCACCCACAGGGTCTGCTGGAGATATTGCCCTTCCCAGGCAATAGGCTCCGATGCTGTGACAGGGTGGCGAACTCCGGTGCACATAAGGAAAATAGCAGACGGAGTGCAAGTGCTAGGTGTCCGGCGATACCGAGACTGACTGAGAGGACGGGCAATCTTGTGATGGGCTCCTCGTTTGTTTGTCTGTCCCGCGCTACATCAATCCGGATTGGACTGTCTGTCAAGCATTGCGGCAGTGACCGAGTTCGGTAATGATTGCGCCTGGAAATCTCAGTACGCGCTCGAGAGTGGGTTTAACGACAGACGCAAATGGAGATGCGAAAATTGGACGAACAGGATGGATGATACCGTATAACGTGACCGGCGGTTCATGGTCTGGTGCCAGAGCGCATCGCTTGATCGGCTGGGGTCGGCTCCCGACGACAGACGAGCAAGAACCGCATATCAGAAGCAGTCAGCGCGTCGTCAGCTTCGCGCTAGAGGCCCAAAGACCCATCAGACTGGATGTCGAGCGCCCGAATGACCGTTTACAGCGCTGCACAATGACATATCGTGGACCCTGCTGTCTTATACAGAGTCGAGCTGAAGAATCGAGAGACAAGCTGGCAAGACATGGGACGCTCCACTGGGGCAAGATTGTGGATTGGTACCTTCGAGATAAAAAAAGAAAAGCAAAGCGTAACGCATGTACTGTGTCCCGAGGTGAGAGGGAGAGGAGGACAGCGGAGAATAAAGCTACCTATGGGAAGAGAGGAGGTTGTCCTTCCCTCCATCGGCGTCGGCGATGGCCGAGTGCTGCGCCTCACTAAGCCACCATTGTGTGGCGAGGTTTCTGCAGGCGCCGGTGACATCATCCTTGGTCGCAGAATTTGGGCTGACAGCAAACAGCAAGCAGCAAGCAGCAAGCAAAGGATCACGAATGACTGGCGTGGATGAACAGAACCAACTCGGTCGGACTGCAGGCAGCTAGTTATTGCTGTCACAATGAGCGGGTAAAAACCTTCCATTCACCAGAACCACAGGCAATCTTGGAAACTCTCAACCCTAAACCCGTATGTAGAAAGCAAAAGAGAGAGAAAATAAGTAGATGCTGGCAACTGCAAAAATCTTGACTTCCAGGTGACTACAATCTAGCGCTTAAAGAGATCCCTTCCAATACCAGCTTAGGTGCAGCAACCGGCGCTGATCAGCCAAAAACTTCCCTGCGAGTGCTCCGGCGTTGCGCATGAGCTCTTGAAACACAACATGCGGAGCCCGAGCAACGAAGAACTAACCAAAGCAGACCAGAGGTCATTGCGGTCATCCTGTCCTAGCGCATCCTGAGTAGTATGAGTATGTAAGTTCGACTCTCTGTGAGAGACAGACAAGCAGACCGGGAAGAGTCTGGGATAGCCCAATAGCATGGCACTTGAGATGCAACCCCGTACATAAGCGCCGACGCCTCGCCTTGCCTAAACCCAGTCAGACTTTAGTCCCTGACCAGCCCTGCAACCGTCCAATACAGGCTGCCTCACCGAGGCTCATCCCTGCTCCGTGTTTCAACCGATAACCATGAGGGGAAGACGGAACTAGTACTCCGTACTCCGTAGGCCGCACGGGAGGTGAGTATGCAGGTTGCCGGGAGCCTGAGGTCGTTCCCCTCCCTCATCTGAACAAGAGGGTGTGCGAGACCCACTGGGCGCTGCTGACAATGCATATGATTTTGGTCATGTGTTCGGCTAGCCCTTTTGAGAGCGTAGATCGACTGGCCTGGATTCAGTCCTGTTGGGATGAGATCAGTGGGATTCCAGTCTGGGGTTGGATACGACATCAAAAGCTGGTGACACTTTCAGACCTCGATGCTGGCCAGAACCCGTCCTCGTACTCTCGGATCTCTGGCACCACTACCCAACATGGTTCGCTGCATATTCTTCACTGAGACAGGATCTACTCAGACTTCGAGCCGAGACAAATAGGATCGGGAGTCGTGCTGCGATTTTGTCTTGTCAGGGTGAGCAAATGGAATTTTTTCCATTCATGACGACTAGTTCGAATTCGACAAATAATAACCACGATGGCCAAGCTCCCTTCATCTAATTTGAAAGGTGCGACACAGAAGGACTGGTATTGCCTGTGATCGGACCGTTTTTTTTTGGCGAATCAACCCGACGTCAGCACCTAATTGTTGCAAGGAACGACGAGCCGTGAAAACTGAAAGTTCAGAAAGAGTATGGCATGTGCGAGTAGTCATGATACTTTGGCTTTGGCACACCTCGCTCGAGCTCATTGGGATGTTGTACATCAAGAGCCCGTAGTTGTCTTGAATTACACTCAGAATTATTCGTGTCTTTGCTTCCGCAAGGTGACTCTGGGGAATAGGTCTCGACTGATCTGCGACGATGAGTCGCATGATTCCTGATTGGGTCTTGCTGTAGTTGGTCATAGCTTCACTGGAGTGTCTTGCGTGGTCTATGGTGATAATGTCTCACCGTCCGTCAGATCTGACTGAGCCAGAGTCAATGTCATCTCAGGTGGATGCGGAAGGAGGGAATGAAACCAATTGCACCGCGGCGCGGCGGTCCGATTCTGCGTTAGCCAATCCAGCGGTCCTCAACAGTCAGAAGCAACGTTCGTCCAGAACTTGAGCAACTTTGCGACACACCAGAGAGAGACTCCAGCCCTTTCTGGTGGAGACGTATGAGAGAGATACTAGCTTCACATGGTCTTGGAGGATCAATAACCTCTCACTACACCTCTATTGTCTTGTCTAGCTGCGTCATCCACCTATCCATCTACAATCTAAGGTACCAATCAACTTAGCCACTTACCATTTATCGTCAAGTTAACAACAAGTTACCCCAGCTATACACACAGCTCCACCGATCCAGTTCTTTCGACTGAACTCCACTATCTCTTCCCCTTTACGAATTCAAACCCACCACCCAAACAGGAACGACCGTGATCGATTCCTCCCGAGCACCACCCATCCAGATAAGACAATCCGATCACGACTAGCGATGATGGTCTAAAAAGGCATGGTGGATCAGGGAAGACAACAGCCTCGCGACTTCCAGCCGGATCAATCCCTTCAGCGAAGGGGATATGAGAATGATCCGCGTCACGCCACGGCGGCCGGGATCGGTTTGAGCAAGAGTTGATAATGAATCTAAACAAGGTAGGATACTAAACGGGATGCCAACCGGCGTAAACAACCAGCATAAGCATAATATGCTGTCGTTGTGCATAGGGATTGATGACTATAGCAGGTTAAGGAACATAGCGAGTAGTGGCTAGATATGGGCCACAGCTTGAGGATGGGTACTTATATGTGCAAAGAAAAAAGGGACAGCAAGTCCAACAAGACAAACAAAACAAGCTCTGAACACGGAAAAGAAAGAGCGATGCTTCAGGCCTGTGCGCTGCGGGCTCAATGTTGGGGTTTGTATCAGCTTGTTAGGCTCTTGGAGTTATTCGGGGCCCGCTTGGTTCGATCCAAACCATATTTCTGGGTCTGGTTTTTGAGGCAAATTATTCTCCCCCCCTCTACCCAAATAACAAACAGCTCTGGATGCTCTTGGTATGTACATGATCTTCGGTGCAGGTTCGTCAAAGGCCATTGGTTCTTGTTCGCTCAGGCAATAAGCTGTTCGTTATTTTGAACGAATTCTGTAGATACAGTTTGACCCCTGGGTTTAGCTTCCTGTATCTCTTCAGCGAACAGCCACGGGAAAATACAACCACCTGACCCAGAAGCCCAATTTACTTATTGAAGGCCCACTTTTTAAGCAGGGTCTTCGTTCTTCGGCGTTATGACAAAAGGTCATAATTGCTCCAAGATTCCTTTTCTCCCTCTGCTCTAATCGAGCTAAGATTTACCCTCCCGCGAAGCGAAGAATCACGGCGCGAATCCCGTTGCGACACCCTTAAGCATCAAAGTTAAATGCCATTGTGAAACGGTGCCTCAATTTCAGACTTTTCTGCTGGTTCCGAAGCAATAAGAACCGTCCGCTCTACAACCACGACTCGCCTGGGAGATCACATGCTACCGAGTTGGTTCTGTTGGCAGTTCAGTGCTTGATGCTGGAGTTGAATTGCTTGGTGTTGGGGTTGAATGGATGAATCGTTCGTGCGGGTTTTTGACACAGTTTACAGCAGCAATAGCCACGGCTTTCAGGAAAAGACTACAGTCACTCCAAGAAGAAGGTGTCTAGGTTTGCTTGTTGAACGGTGGGAAGGGAGAATAGTCCTTATAGATGCCTATCTTCTCAATCATTCAAGAAGATAACGCCTCGGACGATGCATAAATGTCGCAGCGACATCGTCATCCAGCCAGGTACCGAGTTGAACTTGCTATGGCCCGTGCATTTGGATATGTTTCTCTTTGAGGGAACGCTCATATCCCAGTGACCAGAGACAATGCCTTGTTCCTGCCATCTTATCGTCCCCACGGATGCTAAACACGTCCCTGTCGATCACCGGGGCAATGAGCCTAAGCGGAAAAAGTAGACTGCCTCCAAAGACCAAATAATGATCTCTTGTTGTAATCCACCCAGACACGGATTTACTTCTCCGCGAGGACCCCTAGAATAGCCTTGAGAGCACTTACTGCGAGAAGCATAGTCCCCTCCTGGTCAAACCACGGCTGTGCTGCGGAAGCGAACTTTATCCCCTTGGATCACGGACGGAAAGCGAACCGCAACGGCCATGCTACCGAGAAGGGATGTAGGAACCCAAACGAAACACACCATCCCATCCTGTTCATTTCACTGAAGGTTTGATAGGACCCTGGCTCCAATTCGACGATGATTTTGAGCGAGAAGTTTGAACCATATAAGGAGCACTGGCAATCTGCATTCATTTAGATCCAGCACCTTCATTCCTTCGTTGCTAACCTTGTGTTGATAAACGCATCCTCTCGTTATGCGCTTCTCATCGACTCTTCTTTCGGCCGTCGTGCTGTCTGGCACCTCGTTGGCAACCTCGGTTCAGCCAACCTCAGCAGCCGTGGCTGCACAGCCAGACGCTCAAGGGATAGTGAGTCCATCAGCGAATGCAGCAATCCCGGCAGTAGATACGACAGGAACGGCAAAAAACGAACAGCAACCCAGTGCGAGTGTCAATACCAATCAACATAACGCAATTCCCGTCGGCCAGCAGTCATATGGGAATGCTGCCCAACAGCAGGCAGCTGCCAATGGCGTGTCCCAGCAGCCATCCACCGCGGCAGAAGCCGCTCCCACACAAAGTGCTCACGGAGACCTCTTATCTGGTCTGGTTGGTGGCCTTCTCGGAGGGGGCCACAACTCTGATTCTACTGCAAAGGACGGAGCAGGCTCAAGTCCATCACAGAATTCGTGGTCTCAGACAACCACAGCTCCTCAAAGCTCTGAAACAAAGAAACCTGACCTTTTGAGTGGCCTTTTTGGCCTCTTGGACCCCTCGCTACTCACGGACATTGAGTCCTTCTTTCACCACTTCGCATACCTGTTCGACGACAAGACAACAAACCAGACAAAGTCCTTGCTCGACACTGCCTACAATTTGTTGACTCCAGAGTTGAGTAACGAACTGCTCACTCTGTTGAGCAATGCAAATCATCTGCTGACGCCGAATTTCGTCAACGAGACTCAGCAATTGATCGCTTCTGTTGGCCCCTTGGTTACACCCCAGCTGTTCCACAAGGTCTCCGTGTTGCTCGACAATGGCAATGAGCTTCTCACCGCAGAGTTTGTCAAAGAGGTCAACGGTCTGATTGGCAATGCCAATCAGTTGCTGACGGCCGACTTTGTCAAGGAAACTCGGCAGCTGATCGAGGCTGTTACGCCCCTGTTGACCCCCGAGCTACTGAAGGAGGTCGGAACCTTAGTCAACAACGCCAATGGTCTTTTGACGGTCGAGTTTGTCAGGGAGGCCAAGTCATTGATCAAGGCCGTGGCTCCTATACTGTCTCCCGAACTCATAGGGGAGGTTGGCACCTTGCTCAGCAACGCCAATGGACTCTTGACGCCCAGATTTGTGAACGAAACGCAATCATTAATTGAAACAGTCGGACCTGCTCTGACACCTGAGCTGTTCCGGGAGGTCAATTCTGTACTGGGTAACGCTAATACATTGCTGACGACCCAATTTGTTCACGAAGCCCAGAGCTTGATCCATTCAGTTGCTCCTGTGTTGACACCCGCTATTCTCGGAGAGGTTGCTGGCTTACTGAGCAACGCCAATGAACTTCTGACGCCGACATTTGTCAATGAGACTCAGTGCCTGATTGGCGCGGTGGCGCCTGTCTTCACTCCTGCCCGCCTCAAGGAAGTCGGCCAGCTTCTGAATAGCGCCACCTCCTTGCTGACCCCAGGCTTCGTTGATGAGACACAAGGCTTGGTGGGACATGCGAATGAATTGCTGACGCCCGACTTCGTCAAGGAGACCCGCGCGTTGATTGGGGACATTTCCCCTGTGTTCACACCCCAGCTGCTCTCCGAAGTAGGAGGTCTGCTCAACAATGCCAACGCCCTGTTGACGCCAAAGTTTGTGAATGAGACCCAAGGTTTGATTGACGGAATCTCGCCGATCTTATCTCCTGATATGCTTGGCCTAGTCGGCGGTCTCCTCGGAAATGCCAATAAATTGTTGACCAGCAAGTTTGTCGAAGAGACTCAAACTTTGATCGACAACGTGTCACCTGCCGTCACGCCTGCTCTGCTTGAAAAAGTGAACTTCCTCCTCGGCAATGCCACATACTTGTTGACACCCAAATTTGTCAACGAGACGCGCGATCTCATTGACGACGTGTCGCCAATCCTTTCTCCAGAGTTGCTTGGTGAAGTCGGGGGCCTGCTTGGTCAGGCTAACAACCTGCTGACGCCCAAGTTTGTCAACGAAACGCAGGTGCTCATTGAGGATGCTTCTGAGGTAAGACCTTGTTACGTATAAAATTTAAAATAAAAGCTAGAAACTGACAATCATAGTTGCTTCCTGCTCTAGTCAAGGTGCTGGGCACCTTGTGAGCATAAAATTCGGGAAAATTGTTCACTTCGCTGACGGCGGAGTTACTTGTTGATGACCAACCATGCGATGAATTGTATTTCTTTGTTCGTGATGATCTGCGTCGTTGATGTGGTTTTGATACATGCTTAATTGTAATCCGTGAATAGCCCACGATTGAGGAGCGTCTCCTTCAGAATCAAGTCGTTCATTTGGACTCTTGCCACACGTCCCCTCCGAGCTCGTAGCAGCTCGTAGCATTTTATTTCGTTGTTTCCCTTGGGCAGACGGGAGACTCCGTGGAGTGCAAAACCCGACAGCCGGTCTTAGAGGAAAATCCATATTTGCGGCCAAAGACTTGGTAGGTAAAGTCGAAATGGACATCCATCCAGTCCACGAGATGAATAAGCACTAGTCGTCGATGTGTCATGAAGCCAGACCCCCAGCAGGCTCTGTCGTGCGGAATATGGCTTCCATCATGCACGCAATGCATATGATTGCGGTACTTGCGGCGAACTGCGCTGTTTCTTGCATGGCGCGAGTTTCACTTTGAGTTGCAAGATTGGTGGCGGTCGGGCAGATAGGTTGTGCGACGATGTTTAGGCGAATCTGTGCATGTCGTTTCTGCGGGTTCTGCTCTCAGGACGGGATGTCCGAGGCCTTGACCTTCTGATATTTCGAGAGGACCTTCATCTCCGTGTTTCGCTCCTTGATCTTCTTATCCATCGCTTTCTGAACCTCTTCGCGCTTCTTCTCGGCCTCTTCCATCTTCTGCCTGATCTCCCTTGCGACCTGCTCTTGTTCTTTCAGTGCCGCTTCGGGCGAGGGGAACTCTTGGCGTAGTTGCTCGAGCTGCGTGCGCATCACTTCATCCACGTCGATTGGCTCACAGGTGACTGGATTATACTGGTGTGGCTGTAGAGGTGGGCCGGGAACACGAATGCTCGAGAGAAGTTCGTGGATGGGAGTCGTGCGAAGCGGCGAGTCGAGCGGGACCAACTTGGCTGCAGGCGACGGTGTCGGCTCAGAAGGCGGCGAGAGGGGGAGTTGTTGCTGATCCATTGCGGCTGGAGGCGGCGCGTTCACTTTGATTCTTCACGGGGTGAAGAAGCGTGCTAGAGAGCTGGAATAGCTTTGCGTGCGCCAACACCAAGTTTTCTCGCGCGCGATCGTGTCTTGGCTTGAGAGTGTTGCTGAAGCTCGGCCAATTTTGTCTCGGACGCAATTGCTGCGGACTGGATGATTCACCGCCAAACATCGTTAAGGGCGGTCAGTTCCTGCCGACAGTATTGCCAGATATGCCGCCTTCGCACGGAAGGCGTGTGGGGAGAGCCGTCGGACGTATCGGAGATGGTGTCGACCGGCGACGTTATCGTGATAAGTGTGGATTGCTCTGAAAACCATCTGGGGATTTTGATGAAACGAGTGAACCTACTAGGGTCTTGAACTGTAGGCCTTGAGCTTACCAGCTATGCAGGCTTTTGGTATGTTTTCTGCATTTGCGCCCGACTCTTGCATATGACCCCTCAGGGCGCTGTGACCTCATCTCTCTCCTGAATCTCTTGCGCTGACTCTTGAGCGCGACATACTAGTCCCGAAGAACAGGAGAGTAAGTGGGACTGCTTGTGTCGGTACTTAAGAGTTGCGAGTGCTGATATCCGGTCATAGCCTAAATTTGAATTGGTGCTGAGAGTAAGGACTTCCCCGTCAAGAACCCATCGCAAGCGTTATCTGGAGCTGACAATTGAGGGCTTTCTCTCAGGTCATTGATCTCAACAATGTACCCCTTGTGAATGGCACAGCGTTTGTCAAGTGGCGCCTTCCTTCTGGGTGTGCGCCCGAACATCACGGGCATACCGACAAAGCGGTCATTATAGACCACAGAGCATCTTGGAACTACGAGAAAGTGCTGCAAGTCCGACTGACGATCGATCGAAACCAGACGCTTCACGAATGCGAACTATACTTCGAGGTTATACAAGAGTTTGCGTCAGGAGGAAATAATAATGAGAAGAGCCTTCTGGGAAAGATCAGGCTCAACTTGTCAGAGTATGTGGACAAGAGTGACGACGATGAGGGCATCGTCAGGCGCTACTTGATGCAGGACAGCAAAGTCAACAGCACGCTTAAGGTCGGGATAGCTCTACGCCAGGTTGAGGGCGATCGGAACTTTGTTACGTGCGTTCGACCGTCGCATCTAGACATCACCTGAAGTATTTGCGGACTGACAATTTGACCTCCTCCAGGCCCCCCCTCAAATCAGCGATGGTGTTCGGAGGGATCGCCGGTGTTGTCTCTACCGAACAAGGCGAGCACGACGACCTTGGCAGGCTGCCGTCCATAAATTCCCAGAGCAGAGAGGTCACTGACATGCAGGACATGTATCGCCGTACTCTGGCCGCTTCTTGGATTTCGAGATCCGATGACCTACCGGCGGATAAGCTGATTGAAGAGTTGTTTGCCGGGGGCATCAGCTGGGCAGAGAACCAGCACTCGCCGTTTGCAAACTCGACAGATCACCACGCTGACCGGCTTTCCCCGTATAGCCGGACGGGCATAAGGCAAGCTTCGACGGAGAATCGTTTGTCGCCTAGTAGCTTCGAGAAGCGACCTCGGAGCTCATCCAGCAACCATTTCCGGAATGAACCAAAGGTGTCCGAGATGAGTTCGAGCGCGGATCATACTAGGAAAGATGGAAGCATCGAACAACAGCTCCACGACAATCCGAAAGGGAGGAGCTGGAAAAGTCGTAATGCGGACCACGAATTATCCGAGTTCGATGTCCGCGAAGACCTACGGAGTTGGGAAATTGCAAGCAAAGAGTGAATCGCGGCGGTTGTGAAGTTTGTGAAGTCGGTTGACAGAACCACAAGTTGTATCCCATCAATTGTACATAGTCTCAGTGTCGATTGCAAATCCTGAATTGAAAGGTGTCTTAAAGATTGGTCATGGTGAGAGACAGAAATGGTTTTCCGTATTGTACAAGCCTATTCAAAGAGTAGAAAAGTGGATGAGCCGAAGCCCCCCCCGGAAGCTGACATGGCTATTCTGCTTTAGGACTAGCGTCCTCGGCGATTGCCTCCATTCTTTTTGAGCTTCAAGATTTCGATCACGCGAGATTTCAGACTCCGAGATTCACCCCAACGCCTCGTCATCCATATGAATTCCCGGTCGTCGAAAGGAGTAGTAGGGCTCCTTAAATGTCCGCTGCGTCCCTATTGCAGAACAGAAAACACCCTTCCATTGCGCAGGCGCAATGTTATTGCTCGATTCAAATCCGACAAATACACGGACGATCCGGGCGATAGCGTCGGGGGCTTCTTTTCTCTAGACGACCTTGAAGCAGAGGAGTCCAGACGTCGGCACGGCCGTATCAAGCGCATGCGTCGTGTCTTGAGCGAGAAAGAGCAAGTAAGACGACAGAAATCGAAGAGCCACACGATACCAATCTCGGTGCGTTCTCTGGGAGACCCGGCTCAGGTCGTGGTTATCCAGGATCGCAAACGTCGCAGACGCTCGCAGATTATCGCAGAGAAAGACTCGTCGGAAGAATCCAAGGGAGAGCACTTTATGCTGAAGGAATTGGAGAAAGACGCCGCTTTTGCCGATGAAGATCTCTATATCGCACACATTGACGAGCTAGGCTCTCCTTACCAACCCTACGACAAATTAACACGCGCCGACTGGAATGATCTGAGATATAACCTTCGCTCATCCTTCAAGATCTCACAACTCTCTGATTACATTCAACAACGAATCGACAAGGAAGGCCAAGACACACCCCAGGGTGACTCTGAAGGCAAACACTGGCTACCTGGGGTGATGAATCTCATGGAGTTGGTACCCAAACGTGCTTCTATCCGAACTGGAGCACTTCAGGGTTTAAAAGGGAAGGATGCTTTTGCTGAGAAAATTCTTCGGGATTGCTGGCACCTAAGTATCGCTGGCGAAGTCGGCCAGCTTGATATCCCCATGCCTGACACCGCATTTCATACGCTGCTGAACGCCGAAAACTTCTCGTTTGAGGAGCTCGCTGTGTTACACGATGTTAAAATCGATGTCTCCCAGGTTTTACAGATTATGAGGGTAACCGGACGACAGGAAGCATGTGAGTCCATCAGGGACATCGTTCGTGACGCCACCATGAGAATAAAGGAGGAAGGCCTCACGCTACCAGTCAGTGAGAACGACATAACTGCTAATGCCCGCGTCAAAAGCCCTGACTTTTTATCTTGGCTCAACAAGACTTATGGGGTGACCTTTGATGGGAAGACATCAGAAACACCCAGGCGGATGTTCTATCTTGCTGAGAACAAACAGCAGGCGGATGATGCTCACAGGACGCTGCATCTTGCATGGCATAGCACAAACAACCATCCTACCCCGTTCAGTACATACATGCCTGCTACCGAAATGGCTAGCATCAATAACATCGACCCTGAGCTCAACACACCATGGTTTGATCGACGACATTCGTGGTTCAGATGGGCGGTTACACATGAGACCGGCGAGGTCTTGACACCCGGCTCCTTGTTAGAAAGGCGCAAATTTTTTAACAAGCATCAATTCCGTTTGTCCAATGTGCTTCTCAAATTGCTTCGGAATCCCAATTTCAACAAGACCATTGGCATTGAGAATCCCACCGATACCTGTGAGTCGGTCACTGCGGCAGTTGGAAAATGTCTTTTCCTCCGCAAGCCTACCTTTGAGGAGACATCGGTCAGCGCGCCTCAACTTGGCCGGCTGTCCCTCCCACGTACATTCGCTACAGATATACCTCGTGCAGCACCGTTCTTGAACAATCTGGTGCCTCAGAAGTCCGATGAGCAACAGGTGCACCGCATCCGATTGGTTCCTTCAGCTTTCCATGCCCAGGTCTTCCCGCAACTCGAGGTGGAAGTCACAGTGAATACTTCCAAGTCTCCATTTTACACCGGCCCTGAATTTGCCCTTCAGAGCGCCAAGGTGGTTTTAGCTGAAAGCAAACTCGATTTCCTTCTCCCAGAGAACGGGCTCGATCTCCGATTCAGCCGACGCTTGACCCATGAGCTTCCTACGGGCTCCGCAATCGATCCATCATTAGGTGCACTTGAGGAGAGCCTGCGAAAGGTTTTCCGTCAGTCTCTCGAGTCCAGCGGTAGCGAAGTACCTCTTCCCAGCTTCACTCAAATCACCCTTCCTCGTAAGCTTCTGGGCCAGACCCCGGCCACGGAAGGTGAAACCTTGACGGCAGACTACATTTTCCTGCCGGTGAACGACGCCCGAGGCACTCGGGTCCACAGATACAACTACGGCGGCCAGCAGCTCAACTACTCATACTACGAGAGTGGGCCTTTCTTGCCTCATCGTGTCACCGAGCTCTTTTTGAGAAAGGACATCGGGAACCCTGACTCGGCCCTATCGAACGCCGTTCCTGGCGCGACTGACCCCGTGGTTGAGGATGGTTTCCATGAATTCTATAAATCTGCATGCAATTTGGCGTTTGACGTGGATATGGCCCGCCAAACAGAGGCGGCCTCTGAAGGTCCGGAGGTGTTCTAGATCCCAAAAAGTGTCTTCTGGCGTATAGGATTAGACCACATTTTCATGTATTTATATTTCTTGGGGGGACTTTTGGCATGAGGCATGTATACTACGAGATATCTAATGGAATAGGCTCAGCTCAGTGCTTGCGGGGAGAAAATAAACGCAGGTCCGAGTCTCGGGCGCCTGAAGAGTACTGTACCCATGCTTCTGTCCAGCCACTTTTTGTGGCCGATGACAGAGCAGTATACTACCATTTGCCCGAATCAAAGCTAGTCCACATCACTTTTGATAACACCGGAACCCGACGAACCCATATGCAACATTACATCGACGCGGAGGGGGATCAAAAAGAATCAGCTCAAATGCCCACGAACCGATTAAAATCGGCAATTCCCCATCGAAGCCCCAACTCCCAGGCCTGATGGTTCTCTTCCAGCCGTGCAACGTCGCTTGCCCGTCGACGAGCCCACAACTCCACCTCCCCGATCCTGTCCGCCCCCTCGCGCTGCGGCACCAGCCCTTCCACCGCGGCATCGAAAAACCGCAGCGCATCGCTGTATCCCAGATCCCAGCCGTGGACGAAACTCTGCCGCCCGACCGCACGGTGGCAGTATTTCTCCTTTGCCCTCTCCCCCTTCTCCCCTTTCACTTCCTCCTCCTCTCCCTCCCGGCGCGCCAAGGCCTCCCTCAGTAACTGCGGCCGCTCGATCCGGGCTTGCTGGGCCTTTGTCTGGACTTCGTCCCGCGAGAGTAGCAGATGGCCGGGGGCCGCCGGGGGTAAGTTTAAGGTCGCCCTTCCTGCCGGTGCTGGCTGTTTAGAGTCGGCCTGGGGTAGTTGGTGGTGGAGCAGCGTCTCGCAGTCACGGAAGAGTTCGGTCCCCGCGGGGCTGTTATCGCCGATGTACAGTGGCAGAAACTCGTCGATGGCGCCGACTATCATCCGGATCTCCTCGTACCAGTCGCGGAGAGTGGGGGAACCCGGCCTCGGCGTCTCCTTTGATGTAGAGATCCGTAGACCGACCACCCCGTGCAGGGCGTGGAAGGTTACCTCCTGGGCTACGAAGGCGATACAGTCCCGGGCGAGTGCGAGGCGCTCGGGGCTGGAGCGGAGGTCTACCCCGTTGGTGGTAAGGTCGAAGTTGAGCAGGATCCCGATTCCGTGGGCGTGGCACCGCTCGATGAGATGCTTGATGGCGGACCAGCAGCGCGTGTAGACCTCGGATGGGGCGCCCTCGAAGGGGGTTCCTTGGCTGAAGAGAGGACCGAGGGTGAGGAATCCAAGGGGCAGTTGGATCGTGTTGCAGTGGCAGGTATCTCTGAGCCAGAGCAGCTCGTCGTTTGGCAGGGCGGAAAGCCAGTGGGATTGCCATGTTGAGGTGGTGGATTCGAGTCCATTCGTTTCGATGGAGCTGTTTAGGTTTGGTTCAACTCATGCTGCAAGGGTTTGAGATCTTATGAAGGGGTGAGACAGACCTTGTTAGTGCTTCTAGCTCGTTTGGCGCGGTGGTTTGGTGGAGGGACGGGCCTTGTGTGAAGGTAGATCCGAAGTTCACTCCGTAGAAGCGACGGAAGCGAAATATATCTTGGCCCCGAGGGGGGAGTGGACAGTATAGATCTGACATTTATCCGCGAATAATGAGAAGTGTTCAATTAGAGATCGAGCAGGTATGCTGCTTGTTAGTTGACTTGACGGTAGTGTTGAAAATCGCAGGTGGTAAACAGAGTGTTGATGCTGGCAGTAATCGTCAGTAGTGCGTGCAGACTGTCGCCACAGATATTCAGAGAAACTGCTATCCTGCTCATGAACAGCAGAAGACGAGAGAAGGGCCGGTGATAGCTCGAGTTCACAAGTCGATAATGTCACATGGAGATTCTATTAGTTGGGGAGCTGATCGCTGTCAATTTGCACTGAAGCCAGGTGGATTTCCTAATTGGGAAATGCTTCACAAGCAAACGATCATGTTGATCTGTACTGGATTTATGACTAGCCAAAGGCTTCAATTGAGCATGCAAGAGCAGTGCGAATTCTCTTTTGAGACTGACCAAGGATATTAGTGACTTGTGGTTGGCATGAATAAGTGTACGAAGTATGGTCAGTTACAAGTTACAGGGGGGCAATGGTAGTAGATCACACGGGTGGGCAGATTGACGTAGTTGCAGCAGCCATCATCGGACCTGTACTGTACGTATTTGTAGCGAGAAAGGCGAGGGGCTCCGCATTAGGCCGAGTTGTCCGTGCCCGCTACTGACATTAACCCCCCTCTCCAACTTTGTTGCAAGTTAATGTTTGTTATCCTTCTCCCCTTCAACAAATCTTCAACAATCTGGGGTTTTTGTTTCTGTCCTTCCTTCTTGTGTTCAAATAGTTCTTTTTGTCATCTCTCTTTGTGTTCTTTGCCTGTCGTCATACTTACCGACCGTGCCGGCGCACTGAACCTCAATTGTTGCAAACCCCCCCCCAGCCATGAAGCTTATGCGGAGACAGTGACAGCTAAGGCATGGAGAGAACACGAGTTGCTAAGGTTAGTCCCATCACAGTGGAGAACGGATAAATCTGAAACACAAACTGACGCTCTTCTGTCGATGATTCCCCAGGTTGAAGATGTGACCTTGGCGCGTCGCGGTGAACAGGTCGTCGGTACACTTCATCTTACCTCTCACCATATAATTTTCTCCTACATCCCTCCCTCGACCGATAAAACCCAAACCCCCAATGCTGCTGGCCGGTCAAAGGAGCTCTGGATCACATATCCAATTATCTCCTTCTGTACCTATCGCCCCACCCCCGCCGCAGCCCGCCAGCCATCTTCAATCCGGCTACGATGTCGAGATTTCACCTTTGTTTGCTTCTATTTCACTAGCGAGAGCAAGGCCCGAGATGTATACGAAACTATAAAGTGCTGGACCTGCAAGGTTGGACGCATCGATAAGCTGTATGCTTTTTCCTACCAGCCGCCTCCCCCCGAGCAGAAGTTCAATGGTTGGGAATTGTATGACGCCCGTAAGGAGTGGGCTCGGCAAGGCGTGGACCAGAATGGCTCGGGTTGGCGGGTATCTCAGTTAAACGCTGATTATGGGGCAAGTGTGACCTGAGAAAACAACGGAGTTTGCTACATCATTAACCATTGAACCTCAGTTCTCTGCGACCTACCCTGCTCTCATACCTGTGCCGACTACCATTTCGGACATCACGCTCAACCATGCTGGCAAATATCGATCAAGAGCAAGAGTACCCGCTTTGACGTATCTGCACCCTGTGAACAATTGCTCCATCACACGAAGCTCGCAGCCGCTGGTGGGTGTGCGCCAAAACCGAAGCATTCAGGACGAGAAGTTGCTCGCCGCGATCTTCTCGACTTCCCGCCCCGAACGACCGCTCGCAAACTTCACTCCGCCGAATCTGGAGCCGGAATCCTCCAGTTCGACATCGAGTGATCCGTCCACTAGTCAAATGCTGGCTGACCTGACCAACGCCGAAGAACTGGAAGATGAAATGCTGGCATCTTTTGCCGGCGACCCGGAGGAAAAGCCCCACATCTACGGAGCCCAGCAGCGCAATCTTATTGTTGATGCTCGTCCAACCGTCAACGCTTATGCAATGCAGGCTGTAGGGCTTGGGTCGGAGAATATGGACAACTACAAGTTCGCTACCAAGGCGTACCTCGGAATCGACAACATCCACGTGATGAGAGACTCCCTCAACAAAGTGATCGATGCTCTCAAGGACTCTGATGTGACTCCCTTAGGGCCCAATAAGGACCAACTTGCACGGAGCAATTGGCTGAAACATATTTCGACGGTTCTAGATGGCGCGGGTCTGATTGCCCGGCAGGTTGGGCTCCAGCATTCGCATGTTTTGATCCATTGCTCAGACGGATGGGATCGAACGAGTCAGTTGAGCGCATTGAGTCAACTTTGCCTCGACCCGTACTTCCGCACACTAGAGGGCTTTATGGTGTTGGTAGAAAAGGACTGGCTATCATTCGGGCACATGTTCCGGCACAGGGCCGGACATCTCAACAGCGAAAAGTGGTTCCAGATTGAGAACGAACGGATTGGAGGTGATTCGAATCGAGCATTTGGCGAGGCTGGTGGTGCCAGTAGAGCTATCGAGAATGCTTTCCTTAGCGCCAAGGGATTTTTCAACAGAGACAACAACAGTCGTGATTCTCTTGGAGAGTCGGATGGGGAGATGCAATCCTATGACGGCGACAATGCGAAGAAGCTTTCAGTGCCTAAAGCAACGCCCGTGGAAAAGGAGGTAACCAAGGTCAAGGAAACAAGCCCGGTCTTCCACCAGTTCCTGGATGCAACCTATCAGTTACTCTACCAGCACCCTACCCGGTTCGAGTTCAATGAACGGTTCCTGCGACGACTATTGTACCACTTGTACTCGTGTCAATTCGGAACATTCCTCTTTAACAGTGAGAAGGAGCGGGTAGAGTGGAACGCCAAAGGGCGTACTCGGAGCGTTTGGGATTACTTCCTGGCACGGAGGGAACAATTCCTCAACCCTGACTATGACCCGCAAATTGACGATCACAAACGTGGAAAGGAACGTCTAGTCTTCCCACGCGTCAATGAAGTGCGGTGGTGGAGCGAAGCATTTGGTAGAACCGATGCTGAAATGAACGGCCCTCGGGCCCCTGGCTCGGGGTTATCGGTTCCCCGTGAGACTCCGAGTGCTCAGCGGTCGCCAGTATTGACTGGGATGGAGACCGCTAACCATTCTGTCGGCGCTGGCTCCGCTGGCAAAGATGCTAACAACGCCCCACCGAGCGGCATCGCAACTGTGACTGCGGGAATCTCTAATTTGGCATTCCCCAAAAGCAAAGAGAACAACCAGGATACGAAAAGCATGAATCGCATGGAGCTTGAGATGCAATGAAGGAGTAGAGACACCAGTCGGCCTTCAAACTGATGAAATGACGCATTGCGTCGCAGTCGGTCTAGGCAGGCAAATCTATAAAAGGCGGCGAGTCTTCTGTTTGTTATCTAGCAATTGTGTCCTTAGTCTTGCTTTTTTGACGCTGCATATTCTGTCTTGGTTTCGTCGGTAGAGCTACAGTTCTAAGGCCGGGATGACCAGTGCATACTCTAGTCGAGGCCAAAAGAGAGGAAACATGCCGAGTACCACCCATGTGGGGGGTTGCACAACCCCGCTGGATCTGTAAAGAAGTGTTTCTTGACAGATTGATGGTGACTTAGAAGGTGACCCATCCACTTCCTCAAAGTCTGGGAGAGAACCCCAAGGGGCAGTAAGTATAAAGAGAGAAGAAGAGAGTAGAAAAGAGAGCGAAAGACCGAACGTTTGGATGTTGTACTGAGTATGTTGTTACTTATGTTATTGTAGCAGTTGATGCCTGCATACTCAGGCTGGAATACCGGGGGGGGATCTAAACTGGAAACTACAGAAAGGGCCCGGGACTCGGGAGGGGGAAAGCTTACCCAGAAAGGAAAGGTTCCCGCGGAGCAGCAAGCGAGGTTGAGCCCTAACCCGAAAAGGGATGAACAAGCCCTAAAGCCAAAAACTGCCCACTACCGCCGACCTTCTCAAAACTGACTTGACCGCCGCCGACCAATTCGCCCTCGAACGACTACCCCCCCTTCAACCACCCGCGTTCTCGGCCGTTTCTTCGCCAATTCACCACCCAGAAACGCAAACATGGCTGCTGTCCAGGGAGCTATTTCGAAGCGCCGCAAGTTCGTCGCCGACGGTGTCTTCTATGCCGAGTTGAACGAGTTCTTCCAGCGCGAGCTGGCTGAGGAGGGTTACTCCGGTGTCGAAGTCCGTGTCACTCCCACCGTCACCGACATCAGTACGTCGCCCGATTTGATTTGCTTTATCTTGTTTTGAAATCGGAAAAAGAGATGGAAGGGTGAATGTCCGAGGAAAAACCTAGAGGATGGAAACAATTGATGGATCAGTGCGAGGAGGAGCTTGGAATAAATTGTGGATATGGATTGGGGACAAGTTGGAATATCAACAATGGAGGAAAACACCAAGGGAAACACGAATCGGTTGCTAACGGATGTTCTTTTTGCTACAGTCATCCGCGCCACCCACACCCAGGAGGTTCTCGGTGAGCAGGGTCGCCGCATCCGCGAGCTCACCTCCCTCATCCAGAAGCGCTTCAAGTTCCCCGAGAACTCTGTCTCCCTCTATGCCGCCAAGGTCCAGAACCGCGGTCTCTCCGCTGTCGCTCAGTGCGAGTCCCTCCGCTACAAGCTCCTTAACGGTCTCGCCGTCCGCCGTGCCTGCTACGGTGTCCTCAGATTCATCATGGAGAGCGGTGCCAAGGGTTGCGAGGTCGTCGTTTCCGGAAAGCTCCGTGCTGCCCGTGCCAAGTCCATGAAGTTCACTGTACGTTTTTGCCGATCAAACCACCCTGAAGTAGCCACGGAATATGGTCTCGATACAGCAGCCGGATGGATGGATCTACGCAGTTTGTCCGCGAGCGCGACATGCGAAGCGATTTACGACTGCGCGAGGGTGATCGGGACCAAATTCGTCGAGCTTGCGGTTGCACGTCATGAAAATGATGTGCATTCGAACATGAAGGTTTCTGAGACTAACACGGTTTTGTTTCTCCACAGGACGGTTTCATGATCCACTCCGGTCAGCCCGCCAAGGAGTTCATCGACAGCGCCACCCGCCACGTTCTCCTCCGCCAGGGTGTCCTCGGTATCAAGGTCAAGATCATGCGCGGTTCTGACCCCGAGGGCAAGGCCGGCCCCC